GCCGCACCAACAAACCCGGCAGCAGCAGTGTGTTTAGGTGGATGGGGGGAAAGACAGATGCGAAATGAGTATGGGGGATTTTTTTTGCTAAATCGTTGATCTTCGTTTCGAGTGCATGCTCGGGTTACGTTGACTGTCAGCCAGATAAACACAAATGTTTCCTCTGTCGTTTTAGCAGGCCGCAACAGGCCCCTTGGTTTGCGATTGTCCTGGGTGGCGGGTAATATTGGTGTCCCGATCTGGCCGTGGTCTCCGGAAACGTCCCTCGTCAGTGGTTGAGAGTTATACCTTAGTTATTTAGCTGTCTAGCACGTTTTCCCTTATGATATGTTCGAGTGATTTGTGTCTATGACCGATCCTGTTTTCTTGTGTAATTTCACCGTCTGATGACCCGATTCGCTTCTCTTTGTTGTGATCGCAAGATGTCCAGGTTGCTACATGGCTAACCATTATTCAAAGAAGCGCGCTATTTTGCTAGCTGGCAATCCATCACGAATGCAGGGTCGCCTCGTACTAAACACGATTATTGTGCGGCTTTCGATAGTGTGCAAAATTATGATGAACTACAGTAACTTGGCCAGGTAGCTGGCTCGTAGATATACTTATAGCATACAACGTTAGCAAACAGTTTACAGGTCGGCTGGCTAGCTTGCTAATATTAAAATGCCGGAGTGGGGTGACTCACAGAACGTTGAGTTAACTTGTAAGATGACCAAGCAATAAGTAATACGAATTAAAAAATAATAATTTGCTACAGTTACGTTAGAGCGTTGTGTGAATGGGTGTGTTATCTTGTCATGTGTGGAGGATGATCATCCCTTTCACTATTAAGGCCGGGGGGCACAGTGTGCCTTTCTAAGTTTTAGCGGTTCATGTAGCTAGCTGGCTAATTAGTCATGCTGACACTCACCTGATAACCGACAAGGCAGTAAACGATCTCAAAGTCGGTACCTAGGGATGTCAGTAATTTTTGGCATGCAGTCTCTTTGCGGAAAAAATGTGTCAATGAGCTGGCAAGAGCTGTCTAAACGTGCTCACTTAGCTGGTTGTACGTTTCTACAAGCTCGCTAAAACGTTCACTTAATACGTAGGTACTGTTAGTAGCACGGTGTTGCTCGGCGCTTTTCACGGAGCTAGTTCATTTGATTGGTTCGAATTAGTAATGGCTAAATGCATAATTTCTCACAATCGTCCACCTACCACAGAGTGTCTCAGTGCCCATCCAGAATAGGAGTTCCACCTACGCGGTTGTCACTTATACCCGCTGTAGGTACTGTTGAGTGTTTACATTGAAGTGCCCGTAGAGTTAGATTTAGACCCACCAGGAATGCAGAACTAATTCTGGAAAATGATGCATATTGCCCTCTTAAGGTCTTGTGAGTTAAAGTGTTCTAAATGCCTTTTCCCTAGTGTCCCTCCAGCTTTTGCTCAACGTTCTAAAGCCCGTCTTTGCTAAACTGTTTGCTTTTAGATATGCAAATTCATTTTTCCCTCCCATTTGGAATTGGAGCGGAGTATTAAATTTCAGGATGCGAAAGAGATCGGTTACTGCCAGGGGCATATTGTAAATAAACGAATCTTTCAATATCATGTTGCTATAACTAAGATTTCAAAGTCCAACAATGAATATAGGATGCGTATCGAAACAGTAACTAGCAGTTGCAACAGTAACTAGCAGTTGCAACAGCCTTAGGGAATTGGCAGCAGCACTGTATGGTCTAATGGTGAGACAAAAGGATCTGCCTGTGGGTATCTACTGCTTGAATTTCCCTGTGGTTGTATGGTTCATGTTTTAATGCATGCACAACGAAAGTCTGAAAACTTGCATTTGCATTGCATGTTTATAATTTACTTTTGCAAGGTGTAGTTTGAAGATGGGCATTAGTCCACTTAACTCAGCTACCTGTGGGGAGATGTTGTGGGTCCATCATGCCAAATCCAAGATGGCAGCCAAAACGTGTCACCTTTCTAAATTATGAAATTGTACAGGATGAAGAGGGGACATTACAATAAAAGTTGTTACTATATACCCTCTCTCAAGTAAATAACTTTCCAAATATGCAAGATTCAATGTGGCCATTCTGTGTGACCCACAACACATTTTTGTTCAGGCATTCTGGGGGGCATCTACAGTCTGTCCAGATGTTATGACTCAGTTGGAATGGTTGTGCACTCAAATAACAGGAAATTAAGGAAAGCTGCAGTCTGATTGATTTCTGATAGCTATAATCATTTACATACCAACTTTGATCCCTTTCTGTGGAATGGAGACCAAAGAACATTTTTATTAAGTCTTTTAATGGGCTTAACGGTCCATGAAATGTTTGAGTTTCTAAACAAAATCCCAGATTGTCACCATTTTATTCTAAGACTGGGCTGTGGCTCTCTACAGTCTGTTTAGAAATCTCAAACAGTCTTGGTTTCACAGCGCATAGTCTGTGTGGCTTGCCATGAAATCATTGTAAGGATCTGACCCCTTGATCTTGTCTCTCTTACAACCATCTTTTCAATGGCTGAAACATTGTTAAGCTAAACACATTTGCCCCAGTTTATAGTGGTCATAACACAAATAAAAGGTATATATGTTGGTTCAGTTTTGCTGGTTTGAGTGTCGTTTATTTAACTCTGTGACACAAAACACGCTTGGTGCGCTTGGTATTTGCCGCTCAAAGAAATATTCTGAAATGACATGATTCGGAATACTGTATTCTGAGTGTCAGGGTCAGGTGAGTTTACATCATCTAGCACCAGGTCAGATTTAAGTGGAATTGTAATATAGTTCAGAAAAGGTGCCTCTAGGAAAGCCAATACTCTAAATCTGTTTTCAATTAGAGAGTAAATAAAGCTTGATGTATTGGTCCAGGGTAGCCATCTAAACATCTGAGGGCTAATATTGACATAGTAATATACTGGCTTGCCACAGGGATTCAGAACTAAAGTGTCGTCGCACCTCATTCCTGCGGATGGGAAAGTAAATAATGAGCAGTAATGTTTCACAAGGAGAAATTGGGAAAACCATGGGAGAGTTCTGAGCTTCTGACATGATTGAGAGCGCCTAATATGCATGCCAAATAAAGCATAAGAAATTATGTGAAAGTGGAATTGCCCAGACATTCAGTGCCCCTTGAATATGTTTTGCATATATTTAGGCTTGGGAACTGTAGAGCAGGCTTCTCACATTCTAAATTTGTACTGCTCCGTTTAGACCAAAATGAAGCTACCGCATTAGATACATCAGCTTTTTGACTTCAGTATAAACAGAGAACCCATGCATTAGACTTGACTTTTTTTGCTAATCAGCCTCAAGGGCTTTTTGCAAAGGCCATCTACTCAGATGCTCTCCCCACAGATCATTCTGTCTCCAGTGTTGTTTTCTGTCTACAGTAATGAGACGAAGGGTTGGGATTGAGGTGTTGGTCTGTTCAGATGTGACGGCCCCTTATTTCTGATTTTCACCCTTTGCGTGACAAAAGTTGCCACGTCCTGTCCCCGAAACAAGTTTAATTGTTGAAGGGGTTTGATGGGCTCGTGTTTCTTTCTGGTGGCATTTGAAGTGTAGTGGGAGGGCACAAAGCAGACACAAGGCATTTTCATCACATCAGTTAAAAAAATAAAGCCTCGCTCCAAGAGTGTTTTTACACAGGGCTCTCACTGACAGGCAATGATTTCCAGTACAGCTGAAGTTTTTGTAAAACCCAGCAGAGGCACTACTGAGCTGCTGATACAAAAGTAAGTTTAACTTCAGACATGCTTCACCCACTGACAACCACTGCCCCCGCTTCAACCACTGCCCAATGCTTGAGTGCTTCAGTCATCTTGACACACACACAAACAAGCTATGAAGCGACATTTCCTTTACAGGAAGGTGCAGAGTTTCAGTGTGAACCCAGAAATGTGGTACAGGAATCTGTGTGTGAGGAACAAACTGATGCTGAAGTCAAAAATAGATAGCTGAGTCATGGGCAGGTAGTATGAACAGTGGACCATCACAAACAAACAGTCTGCCAACCAACACGTCCTGACCGTCACTATCTTTTATTTATTTTTAGTTAATTATTTTCATACAGCAGCTTTCATATAATTAGATTGTAGCCCAGGGTGCTTTACAGAGAAATAATAGACAACGAAAGACAAGATTTTATATACATCCAGTGAAAGATAGGTACTGCTGCATTGATGCTGTCTGAGCATTTGCAGGCACTTCATGAATCGCACTGTGCCTAAGATCAGCGAGTACAGCTCTTGCCCAAATACCCACCCCTCTTACCGGCAGAACAAATTCAGGGTGAACTGGAGTAGGCTCTTGGTTATAGTTGGTTGATAATGTGACTGGGGTCGAACCCAGGCCTTAGAGCCCAGCTTTCTGTACTTAGAGCATCACGAGGGCTCTTCAGAAGCTATTTCGGTCGAGAGTGGGTGGTTTGTATGATGTTCTAATGGATTTCGGAGGTCTCCGAGATCCTTGATGAATGTTCTAATTTGTGTTGGGGGCCGGGCTCTCTTACTGCGGTGCATGTTTTGGTGAAACCGAAGGTAATGGCTTAGGCTTGGAGAGGAAGAGCGTTGTATTCTGTGCAGTGACTGTAGCTCTGCCGTGTGTGTGTGTGTGTGTGTGGCAGTGGGTACCAGGCCAGCGTCAGCTAATGGAGGAGCACGCGGTGCACCAGCCGGAGCACATGACCACCATGGACGCCCACGCCGTGGCGCAGCAGGTGCACGTGGCCACGTACCCCGAGCACGGCGTGCTGAGCGCCGACGAGGACTCGCCCTCCTCGCCCGATGACGACGGCTACGACGACTCCGACATCCTCAACTCCGCCGGCACTGACGAGGTCACCGCCCACCTGGCCGCCGCAGGTGAGCCCACCGCCCGCTCGGTCGCGGTCGCCTCTTGTGGTCGCACGACCATGACCGTGTTCCTACGCCACTACATCAGTGCCAAAAGTAGTCCCTGTTTGCTCATTCTCAGGTAAACCACACCTGGATGTTGCTTCTGGGGCAGTAGTGTAGCATAGTGGTTAAGGTGCGAGACTTATAACCAAAAGGTTGCCGGTTCGATTCCCCACTGGGGTGCTGCTGCTGTACCCTTGGCCAAGGTACTTAACCCAGAATTACCTCAGTAAATATCTAGCTGTATAAAAGGATAACATTGTAAAAAAACAAAACAAAAAAAAAAAACTGGCATTTATCCAGAGTGTCTGCTAAATGCCAATAATGTAATGTAATGCTTCTGAATTCAAGCACAGCAGGAAATGCATGTTCACTGTATATGACACACATCCCTTAGAAAGAGGGAATCGCAGTCCAGTCTGTCTCTAAGCTCCAATCTCTATCACTAGAACAAGTGCTCCTCATCTTATATTTCAGGTCTATGAACTCTCCTTATTTAGCGTAAAATTCACAGCAAAGTCTCAAAGCCTTAAGGGATTAAACTTTTCAGTTCTCTTGGACTCTTGTGCTGCAGCCAATCACTGAGCAGGTTCATGCTGAGAATTTGTTCTCTTGGCCTTAAACCAAGGCTTGGGTTTCCCCGCGTAGGTGGGTAAGATGTTATGAATAGCAGTGTTATGGTATCAACGTTATGGGAGTGTCCTTACTGACGGCCGGGGTGCTGTGTTGTAGATGGTCGGTGTGGAACGCCGTGTTCTCAGGGCTCACGTTCTCGGTCCTCCTCCCTCAGGGCCGGTCGGCATGGCAGCGGCGGCCGCCGTGGCGACGGGAAGAAGCGGAAGCGGTCGCACATCTTTGAGTCCAACCCCTCCATCCGCAAGAGGCAGCAGACGCGCCTGCTGAGGTGAGCGCTGGGCCTTTGTTGCCTATGACCTCACATCAAACAATATTAAACCTGTTGCCGGTAAAAAAAAAAACGCTTCGTGTCAAACAGTATTAAACCTGTAGGCGATCAGGTATTAAAAAGAAACACTTTCTGTCTTCACAATGTCTTTCCCCTTGGATGTTTGAAGACCAATATCATGCTGCCTCAGAATGAACTATTGCTCCAATTTACAGAAATCATTAAAAACAAGTCAAGTAAAAACAAGACAAGTAAAAACAGCACTGGCTCCCAGACATTTCTCTTGGAGCACATATACATTTTTTGGAACATCGATGAACCACAAAATTTTTGAAAAGGTGCGTGCTTTCTTACATCAAGATACACCTTCAGCTCATATGTTAATGCCTGATATGCTCATCTATAGCAGGTAATTTTTGAATTTATTTATTAATAAGCATGCAGGTTTCCTTAGATAATGTGATTGAAGCCTGTGAAGCTTGTGTGCTCTGGGCAGCTTGGGGTCCATGGAATATGTTACAATGCCAGAAACGGCCAGCAGATGGAGCCAAACCATATAAAACCTTTTGGCCCATTTTTCATGTGGTTTGCATTTGGGTCATGGTTCATTCAGGAAACTGAGGGCCACGCTGGATGAATACACCACCAGAGTGGGTCAGCAGGCCATCGTGCTGTGCATCTCTCCGTCCAAACCCAACGCCGTGTTCAAAGTTTTCGGGGCCGCCCCCCTGGAGAACGTGGTAGGTCTCTCCCGCCGAGGGTTTCCCTTCTCGTCCGGGGCGATGACGTTTTCGCCCTCGTTGGCCCCCCCCTCCTACCATCCCCCCTCACCTGTGCTCACTGCCGCCCCCTGCAGGTGAGGAAGTACAAGGACATGATCCTGGAGGACCTGGAGAGCGCGCTGGCCGAGCACGCGCCCCCGCCGCCCGAGCTGAGCTCCGAACTGCCGCCCCTCAGCATCGAGGGGATCCCCGTCTCCGTGGACAAGATGACGCAGGTGAGGCCCGGCCTGGGATGGGGGACACAGGTCACAAATTCTGAGGTGGGACAGCACGGGGACATCCATTCAATACCTCAGCAGCTGGTATCCAGAGCAAATTCTTCTGCTTCCTCTTGCATTTGTTCATATATCATATGTAGCAGTGTGGCATAGTGCTAAGGAGCAGGGCTTGTAACTGAAAGGTTGCTGGTTTGATTCCCCACTAGGCCTCTGCCATTGTATCCACAATTGCCTCGGTAAATATCCAGCTGCATAACATGGATAACATTTAAAAACTGTAACATGTAAATCGCTAAGAGCATTTGCTAAATGACAATAATATATTAATATTATTGTTATTAATAATATATTAATATATAATGAATGTAATGCATTCTTCCAAGGGGACCTTGGGTAGAGTGTACGGGTTTAGACTGTATGCACGTCATGGACCATTATTGTGGATTCACCACATTGTTTGGCAGACATGCTTCACTGTAGCAGAGCAGGTTTAGGTCATATTCTTCTGCAGTGTTTTGGGAAACACGTTAGTTTGTTGGCCAAGACCTTCCCATGCGGTGTGTGATCGCTTCTCTCCCTGCGCCCTCCTGAGGTACAACCATGTGGTAGGAGGAGCCTGCAACCCCCCTTCCCCAGATGGGTGTGTGAGAAGGCGGGGGGTGGCAGTTGTTTTTTAGAGGTGAAAGGACAGCAGGTGGCCCCTGTTGCTTTACACATCTTGCCACTGCTGAGCGGCAGAGAGCGAGGTCTTGCAGGAGCCTCCCAGCAGGGCCTTCTGCCCCCTAGAGGTGCAACAAAGAACTGCATGCACCTGCAATTAGCCCGGTTCTTCAAGATCATCAAGCCCCCACATCTAGCTGCTGATTGGCTCCCTGGTGGATTGGAAGGAGGGCTGACGAGTGCTCTCTTGCCACAGCATCTCCTATAATTAAGCCGTCTGCCCCAAGACGGGGGGCACCAAGGGAGACAGTGACCCCCTGGGAGTCTTAGAGTTTGGTTCAGGGGCCTCCGCTGTAACATCTTACTGTCTCCATCTCGTATGCAGAGGATCTGGCATTGCGTGTACGTGTGAATGCTATCTGATAGTGTGTTGAGTGTTGGTGTGGCTGGCAGTTTGTTTGGCCTAAGATGCTGTTGGGACAGAGCATGGCACCTCCTGTGCTTTTCTGGTGGTGTTTACATTCTAGACACACAGAGGGCAGAATGCTGGTCTCAACTGCGTCCTCATTGTTCCTCATTAGAGCTGCAGTCTGCATAAGGCGGGTGCCTCCGACGGCCTTGTTAGAACCCTTGTCCCCTGGTTGCCCTGCAGACGTCTTCCTGTGCCGTTTCTGAGTTGAACAAACAGGAAACTGACTGACAAGACATCCTTGGCGTTCTGCCATTTTTTGAGGCCGGATGGACTCAGCCTCTCAGCTCTGGGTTTGCATTTGAGCGGGTGTCTGTTGGGAAGCAGTCGGTCTCTCTGGGCCTAAATATAGCGCGTGATGTCACCATGCCTCATCGTGCAATGTAATCCGTATCGTGCCTGTATATTATAGGGATGCTCAGGGCTGGCAGCTAAAGCCCTCTGTGTCTGACAGCAGGGACAGCAGAAGTGTGGGGAGGAAGTGGTTAAATCAAGTTAGATTTGAATGCCCCGCCCCCCCCACGCATCTCCTGCCCGCTCAAATAGCCAGCAAGCCTTTTATGTAACACAGGATGCTGTAGCAGTCAGGTCCCATTCAGTTAAATTCACCCTGAGTCTGTCACAGAGAACTGCCTGTCCTGATGCCTGCTGCAGCAGGCCAGTGTGTGTGTGTGTGTGTGTGTGTGTGTGTGTGTGTGTGTGTGTCCTGGTCAGTCCTGCCACACTGAAGCTTTTGAAGCAGGTACCATGGTTTTGAAATGTGCTGACGGTCCAGACGACCAGGGCTGGGCAGACGGACAGGCGGAGGTTTGGGGAAAAAAATATTACAGCCTGAATAGACAAGGATCTGATGGCTAATCTGGGGGGGATTATGAGATTAGGTAATCTATTGTCATTACTTAATTACTCTTTGAGTATCTTGGGGCCAGAGGTGCCAGTGCGCTCTGTGAGCAATGTGGGAACCAATTTAGTTTGTAATGTTAGTGTTTCAGTGGCTCAGTGGCACTTTTTAAAGGTGGGGTCTATTCCAGGACACAGATAAAGCCAAGAGAAAGTTACTCCCTTGTTCATAGTCTTACAGTATGAGGCAAAGATGGATCTGCAGTGAGAGGGGTTTTTTTTCCCTCCCCTAAAATAGCATTTGAAATGGCCTCCTCTGGATGAGCGATCACAAATCGATTCTTCTCCTGCATTCCATTCCAGTATAATGAAAATTGATCACTTTATCTCTTTTAAGGACTTGCACGTGCTGCACGTGCTGGCGGCACACAGCATCAGAACTGCTGGTGTAGTGAGTGGGGTGGGTTGTAATGGCTGTCCTGTGGTCCCTCCTAGGCCCAGCTGCGGGCCTTCATCCCGGAGATGCTGAAGTACTCCACCGGGCGGGGCAAACCCGGCTGGGGCAAGGAGAGCTGCAAGCCCGTGTGGTGGCCCGACGACATACCCTGGGCCAACGTGCGCAGCGATGTCCGGACAGAGGAGCAGAAACAGAGGGTGAGGCCGTAGGGGGGCGGGGCTCGTCTCTGGGGTGGAGGGTGGGACTGGGGATATGGGTGTGTCTCAGCTGGTGGGTGGGGCTGTGATGTGGACATGTCTGGTGTGGTAGGTGGGACTGAGAAATGGGCGTGTCTTGGCTTTTGGGAGGGGCCAAGATATGGGTGTGTCTTGGCTACTGGGCAGAACTGGAATACGTCTGGTCTGGTGGGCAGGGTTATAACTGGGACATGGGTCTTTTCCTCAGGGGCAGAAGAATGAAAGTGCAGGTGTAGCTAGGGTGTTGCTGGGGGTTACAGCCTGGCTCATAGGTTAGGGTTGTAACTCTTCCTTGTCGCTGTCGGAAGCAGGTTTCATGGACGCAGGCCCTGCGGACCATAGTGAAGAACTGCTACAAGCAGCACGGCCGGGAGGACCTGCTCTACGCCTTCGAGGACCAGCAGGTCCCCCAGCAGCATGTGGCCACCACCGCCACCCACAGCATCGCCCACCTCGTCCCCTCACAGACCGTGGTGCAGACCATCAACAACCCCGACGGCACTGTGTCCCTAATACAAGTGAGTCTCTGCAGGGGCTAGGCTAGGCTAGGCTAAAATAGGCAAGACTGAAACTGGCTAGGCTACGCTAAAAGCGACTAAACTAGAATTGTCTCGG